TTAGTACTTATTATATGTTAGATAGTTTTTAGTTACAAGTAAGTGTAATTGCTAATTTTATCTTCCTTAAGGTTATTGTCACTGTTTTTGAAAATGTTTATTGATTTCATAAAGGTGCTTCTACTTCAGCAGTATCCTAGTTAGAAAAAAGGTTTCTAGATCTTAGCAATATTCATCAAGTTAAATTAAAAACATTAATAATTTATAGAATATTTACTATATTCAGGAACTATCTCATAAAGGAGAATTCTAGTACAACAAAATTATTTGGACACACTTTTGATTTTCATTGTAATGGGATTCTCCTTATTAAAAGCAGTACATTTCAAAGTCAAAGAGTTATTTATTCATGCATAACCTTCTTGCATCTATCACTTTGATCTATCACCTATTAATATAAGTAAAAAAATCACATTAAATTACATTAAATGTATTTTCTTCTAGAATAGAATGAAATAGCTGATCACATTCTTTTTTTTCCAGTGTTTAGTTTGAAGTAGTTATATGGTTTATTTTAAATATGTAATATAATCTCTATTTACACTGGAAAACATTCCAAAAGAAGTTCATGATTTTTAAGTTCATAGTGCCACTAGATAAAGTTCTCAATTTAGTAGTCCCATTAAACAAATTCTCACCTTTCCTCATTATCTTCATGTTATATTCCTTTGCTTTCAAGATTCCACAGATATTATTAACCGCCTTTATATGTAACTCAAATTCAAAATTATATTTTATTTTTTGGAGTAATTGGTTGTAGATACTATTATGTTACTAGCTTCTAAATTCATTTATTTGTAAATCTTTATTCTGCTCTTTTTATAGTTACCAGAGTCTTCCTCACCAACTTGATTTATCTTTAATCTTTTTTTTTTTCTCTTAGGCACAGGTAAATCACTTGGTCATTTTACAGGGATGTTTAGCCTGGGATATATTTCAATCATTCGCTTTCATTTTCTCTGTGTGATAACGTACACAGTTGTATCCTTCTGTAATAAATTTCTCCAATGGATCAGAAATATTTTTTTCTCAGCAATTACATTTTTATGATTGCAACTGTAGGCATCTGCACTTTATCACTTTCAAGATCTGAGTTTGGCAGTGCAGTGCAGAAAGTCTATTTATGCAGAATTGCAATGAAAAGAATTTACATCTCTATGTTGTATACTCTTTGAAGGAGATATAAACTGCTAGATTATGCTAGTCATTACATGATGGAAGTGTCTATAATCTAATTTTCCACAAAATATAATTTGCTATGTGTCAGATTCATATTGAATGTAAGCTAAAAGAATTGACTTACTAAAAACCCTTTAAGATAAAAACAATAACGAATTACTTATAATGTGTTATCTCCTATAAAGTTTTTTTTGGGCAAAGGTTCAAATGTATATTCTAATATAAATATATCCCATGTTTTCAAGAGGCAAATACAGAGTTAGATCAAAAGTTACAAACATTATTTGTTTGTTATTTAGGAAAACTTGGCCTTTTCCCAGTTTCTGCTTCCATAGTGTCTCCCATTTATTTCTGGGAGTCTTTTTGGAATGGGTTTTTATATACTCTGTAATACTTATTGGGTCTAGTTTAAGAATATCTGCTAACCCTTTTATCAGTCAGCATAAGCTAGGTTATGCTGTGATAAGAAGACAATCTCCAAATCTCTGAGGCTTAACAAAAGTTTATTTGTTGCTCAAGTTACATGTCCAATGTTAGGTGGTTGGGAATCTCTGCTTAGTACAGGCCCTCAGGGACCCAGGCTAACAGGGACTGTATCTCAACATTTATTTCCACTGTTGTAACCGGGGAAAGAGAACATGATGAATCACAGAAGGACCCCTAAAATGTCCACCTGCATTTGACGTATGTCAGTTCTACCCACATTGTTTTTACCAAAGCAAGTAAAGTAGTCAGTGTGGATGCTGAATGGGTGATCCTACCTTGTGCCCAGGAGAATGGGAATATTTGTGAACAGCCCCAATAACTATTACCTTCCCATTGCTTTTTTTTTTTTTTTAGGAGTTCCTTTTTGTTAAATTTTCATCTGCTGTCAAATCACCTTTTTACCCTGTCATAGCTGATTTTATCATGGTAGTCAACTGAATTATTGACCACTCAGTTATGGGTTGGCCAGAAACCTATGAGGCAATCCGGCATGAGAGCTATGCCTCTAGGGGATGATGGTGAATTGGTCCTTTCACCATCCTCTGAGAAATTGACTATGTACTGAGAGCTAACAGTTAGTACCTAGGGTTAGACAGTTATATCATGTGCAAAGCTAAAAGACACACAGAAAGATGTGGAGACATGGGAACGAATTCTAGTGAAGCACTTTTCAAGTTCAAGTCCGCAAATTTCTGCTTTTGACGGATAATGAAATTACCAAGCTTGTAATGAATTCTTCCAACTTCCAAGCCACCTTCTAGTCTCAGAATTATACTCTAGTCTTTGTGGGGCCTCACTGTTTCCAGTCCCCTTGAGCACTGGTCACATAGGCCAGATGCTTGTCTTTCTTATGTAATCTGATTTCCTGGCTTCCTACCTCATCAGTGGCTGAAAGTTCAAAAGAAGTTCCATTAGCAGCAACAATCCAGGGTTCCTATAATTGCCTTTGTTACTTATGCTAGAATGGAGATTTTTCCTGTGAAGCCTCTCTTTAGCTCTTCCTCTTAACTCCAGAAATTTGGAGTCTCTGAGGTATGACTTACCTATTCTCCCAAATCAGTCTACTTGCCATATTCTTTCATTTTATCTGGCTTCATCTTATCGATAGTAACTGCTAATGCTTCCATTGCAAGACTAGAAATGGACATGCCAAGGTATCTGTGTTTCAATGTCTCCAAAGCCGTGAATCCTCAAAATGGTGAAATAGCACTGAGCTCCTATAGCACAGCTCCCAACTGTGCTTCATTCTGTCACATGGGCCCCCATGAAGCAATGCTTGCACCTAGAGTCACACACGTTTCCTTATAAAAACAATGTCTTTCACCTTCTTGCATCACTTCTCCCTCCTATTAGCGTCAAACCCAGTACAACTAGCAGGATGGTGAATAGTTCATCTTTACTCCTGTAAGCATCCTATTTTTCTTTCCACCCTGACTCCTATGCAGAATTTCTCTGCCACATTCCATTCTCAACATAATTTCTTTCTCTTCTCCTTTACTCAAGAGGAGGGAAAAAAAAGAAAAAAAAGATAAGCAATCATGAATATCATTTTATGCAAATAGATGCCTAGATGCCCAAAGGGTTCACTTCCTACTGTTCTACAGACAGATCTGATGGGCTTCCACTTAGGAGAGGACATGCTTTGGCTTTTTAGCTTCCTAGAATATATTTCCTGTGTTTCTTTTAGAAAAGAATTCAAGTTTTGTGGTTGTTTTCTGTCACTTCTATAGGTCATTTTGAATGAGCATGATGCTATTTACTTGTTTCCTTGATTCTATCTCCAAGCTGCTTTTTTTTTTTTTTCCATTGCCATGCTGATTATCCTATTACTGGAATTTTTTTATCAAAATTAACATCGAAGATTCCAAGGAAATCTCAAAGTCAAGTCTGTACACATAATGGTTTTATAGATTATAAGCAAATATTGGAGTTTTGACTATAACCTTAAAAGTAACCTTAAAAGTTAGTAAGTTAAATGTTTTTTAACTTACAGGCTCAAGGCTTAATAGGTATAAAGATGTTATTTTCATGATAAGACAAAGGAATAAACTTAATTCTGCCTCAAAAATGTTTTAAAGCTTAGGGTGATTCAGTGTAGTTAAGTTGATTCTAATAAAGTGAATTCTATTTTTGCATTCTTTTACTGCCAGAAAATTGCTCCCATGGGAGAATTGTTAGGCTATAGTATTCTTTGAGAAACAAATAGTCAAGAAAAGAAAGCCATATAAGGATAAGATAAACTGGTAGCTAATTGATTAAAATAGTGTGAGTCCAGCTGGGATGTGCGTGGTTGAGCATACAAGGGATGCTCCCACCATAAGAACCTGGTGGCTTTGAGAGTAACTGTGGGTAGATGTCAGTTTACACGTGCTCCACCTTTTCTCAGCTTGCTTCCTAGACCTTTTATTCTATCAGACTCTGATTTTCTTTCTACTCATTCCAGTTGCTGCCCTGTTGTTCTGGGTTCTTTGACCATCCTTAATCCACTCCACTTCTGTTAACACTTTATTTTTCAATCATAGCTCATCTTTTCTTCCACAAATTCAGAATAATCCCACAGATATCCTCTTCTAGCTTAGCTGTGCAGTAGGATCTTATAAACTGCTTCTGTAGGCAGCTTCTGTAGGTGATATAGATTGATAAGTCCAGATCCACTTGTCCTTTTAGGGGAAAATGCTAGATTGAAGGGAGCGATTGTGGTTCAGCTGTCTGAAAGGATAGAAGAGTCCATATCTCCCCAGATATGGTTATTTTTACTGCTTGATGTGTGATTCTACCCTTCGTAGAACCCCCTGGGCTATTCCAGAGCACCCAGCTTGTCTCAGGAGATATTGCTGTGGCTTGACAATGTGATGACTCTAGACCACTGGTCAGCAAACTTTTTCTGAA